TTTTTAATCTAGAAAAATCTCTTAGCTGTCATTTCCATACTGCTTATTGATTAGGTTTAGTACAAAATTTTTGTCTTTCTTTAATGCCATAAAAGAAACTGCTTCCTGGGTGACAGGTAAACTTTATTTCCCATCTGCTTCTGCTGTTGTTTTGTCCACAATTGCTATTACGTTCCAGAATCATGGACATCAACCACAGATGCGTCTTAAAGTAGGATTGAAAATATATGGTCCAGTTTGTTGAACACAGCAAGTATTTCATATGTCGCACCGTTCAGCATTCTGATAGCTTTTGGCTTCAGTAACTGCCATAGTAGGAAACAGAGGTCAAGAATTCCCTCTGGAGTAGCAGACGCTATTATCAGTGCATAAGGGGCCACGAGTAGACAGTACTGTCCTTATCAACAAAAATGTTACACTTACTCACATCATTTACACCTTTTCTCACATGCAAAACTGGAGTTCTCTCTCTTCTCCAACCGACAGAAATTGCATCCTGAATACAAAATTCTGCAGCATGTTTCAGTTTTATGCCCCCTAACTAGTTCTGAAATTTCCATCTGTACCAAGTTTTGCATCATCAGCAGCAACATCAAGGACTATTTAGGTCACTTTGTTAAGGGCTGCCAAATCCAGAAATCCAACAAATGTGAGGCTGACATAGCTCCCTCTTCCCAGGTCCAGCCAGTAGCAGGGCCGGACATGTAGTCCCAAAAGACACAAACACATAGATATACATGCCCAGCCACACACACATATTCACACAACATGGGCCCTCCAGTAACTGTCCTTAGACAGTTTATCCTGTAATTGGCCTGGGATCCTTGGCCTCCTCCTCTCTTATTGCACCATATGAACTCCTGCAGCCCCACTCCAGTCGTTGGTACAGACCCCTTCTCATGCACCAGACACAAACACACTATGGAACCCTCCACTAAGTGGCCTTAGACTTGAATCCTCTCATCTCAAGTGGCTTCATACACAGACACACAAACGGGTCTCTCGGTCAACTCCCAAACCCCCCCTGGTCTCCCAGTAGCTAGCTCGGACCTCTTGGTCCCTTCAGTAGCCTACTCGTAGACCCTCTGGTCTCTACCTGGCTTCCCAAGCCACATACCCTACTCCCTAGCTTGTCCAGCTTGATATTTGCAGAGACACATACCATCTCTCACTCCAGCTGCTGGCACCACAGACGCACAGGCCCCTATGGCCCACAGTCTGACTGCAGTTGCTGGCACCTGGACCTCCACTCACAAACAGTGGACAGTCCCATCATGCAGGAAAACAGAAACAGAATTAATAAGATAACAGGACAGACTGGGCTGATCAGGCACAGGTCATGGCTAGACAAACCCACCGACCCATTTATGAGCAATCAGTCCCTTTTATCAAAACCCTTATCCCTCTATTTTCCTTATACTTGTTCCTCCCAAACCACCTGATCCCTCCCCTCGCCCACCTTTGGTTCATCCCTTAAACATCCCACAGCAAGTCTTGTGCAATCCCCAAATGCTCTTCCCAGTGTCCCGCAGTAAGTCCCATAACGCCGTAGGCAGCAAATCCCTTCAGTTCATAATGTGCTCGGAGAGGCACTGCCCGTGACTCTCAGTGCTGGGGGCTCCCCCGGCCCACAGCGCTGACAGCTCAGTTCTCTAACTAGGTTGCGGGGGGCTCCCCCGCCTGCTGCTGTGCCTCTGTGCCCTTGTGTGTGAGGAGAGGAGCCTTTCACCACATAACCTTCCAAGTTCCATTTATGTGCCTGGTATTTAACAAACAAGCTCATGACTGTTAATAACTTGCAATTTATATTGCAAGAGAAAACATGAGAATACGGAGAAAAAGATCAGATACAAGAATGGGAATTTCAAATGCAAAGACAGTATAGCTATATTTTACTAAGAACTTCAGTAACGGGTAACAGATAAACATACTTGTGGGGTGGGGGAACCAAAAAAACCTTCCACACTCATTTCCTACTCCAAAGGACTCTCAATCCAGAATAAGAAAACAGATAGAGACGATTACATGAGGAAGGTGCAGAGAAGTCAACTACAAAACTCTTGTGAAAGTTGAGCTTTAATCACAGAACTGTCAGTGGAAGTCCTCGTACGAACGGATTTTACATCCTCATAATATAAATACAGCATCATGGGCATACTTGACTCTGCTGTGTCAATCCTTTTGTAAATCTTACCCGTGATCCAAACAGCAGTGCTGCTTTCTTAGCTGCTAACTCTGGAAACGTAATTTCACCTGCAAATAAAACTTTTCTTTTTTTTTTTTTTTTTTGGCCTCCATGCACTAACTCTGGAACTTACCAAGCCAAATTACAATAAAGTGTAACCTCATTTTTCAAAGTTGATGGCCAGGCAGAGACTAGAATAAAACTCAACTGATAGACAACACATAGCTCACTTCTGCCTTTGTCTAATTCCTTCCTTTATGATAAAAGGCCTTAACTTTAACTAAGTTATAAAAACTTTAGCCTTTTGTATCACTTTCAAAACCAATAGAGAACTACTGAAGTAGTTTTTACAAGAGCCAAAAGCCACGTTTAGCGAAGTAATCTTGCTATCTTAACAAACAAACAAACCACCAGACACTTAAAACTAGGGAGGGCTTAAAAATTACCACTTCTGGAGCAGTAACATACTGTCCCACACTGGCCTTCCTGCAACCAAAAACAACATATTGGCAGTAGAAAGTTTCTTAACTGTATTTTTTCTGTTTGCCCATATTTGTGAGCAGATATGTTATCCTTTGCAAAGTTGATTTACTTTATCTGAAAAAACACATACATAAGTTTTAAGAGGAACGCAGGAGAAGAGCAAAAGGGACCTTAAGAAAAACATTAAACTTTTTCATTAGATTTATGCACGAAGACGTAGGCAAAATTGCTTGAGCAATTACCCTCTAGCAAAGCAACAGATTAAAAACAAAAGAGGCATAAAAACTACTGCCTGAAGGTTAAAATGGTTATTTTGGGATAGCCAAGCATGGGTTATCACCCTAAGGAGACAGAAATACAAGGT